GAGTTACAATTATGTTGTATAATGTAGTTATAAGCATTCCTATCAAACAGGCAACAAATATTAAAAATAGGGAGCGCTATATCTAATCCTGCTCCATTTAACAGTGGTGTCCCCCAAGGCAGCAGTGGTGTCCTAGGACCCACATTCTTTATGCCTTATATAAATGACCTTTGCGATCACCTTATAAGCAACTGCGTCCTCTTCGCAGATGATGTAAAACTATTCAACACCACTGACAATGCTACTATCCTTCAAAGTGACCTTGATTATGTGTCTGAATGGTCAAACATCTGGCAACTCCAAATCTCGACCAACAAATACTCTGTCTTACACATTGGTAAAATAAATCAGTACACCAAATACAAACTAGGCGGATATGACCTCGTTGATGATCCTCACTCTGTCAAGGACCTTGGAGTTCTCATATCAAATGATCTAAGCGCCAGAGCTCACTGTAACAGCATTGCCAAAAAGGCATTAAGAGTTGTAAATCTAATCTTATGAAGCTTCTCCTCCGGAAATATCGAATTGCTAACTAGAGCATACAAAACTTTTGTCAGACCAATACTCGAAAACAGCTCATCAGTCTGGAATCCACACTGCATATCAGGCATAGTCCTGTTACTACTGCAGCTCTGGAATATGGGACCGACTTTCCCACCAGTGTCAGCAAGCCACCCCAGGGCAGATTTCCCTCCCCCGGCGTGGTTTTACCTTTTATCGTGTTTCTTAGAAAATAAGGCAGGGCCACACACCTCACCCCACATGCCTCACCTGACCCCCGGGCCGCTTCTTTCGTGGTCAAAAAGAGTGAGCGACGCACCTTGCCTGACTCCCCGCCAGCCAAGCACTGAAGCTTCACCACACACACACACTCACGCCCTCCAAGGTAGCCACATTCCTTCATTAACCTACTTTTCAGCTCCATTCTCAGGAGAGAGATAGGGATGGTATCCTGTGATCCCAAATAAAAAACAATTGATAGGTAGGAAAACGGGGTGGGGAATTTTCCTGCACTTTTTGAGGGACTTTCCCAGGGTCTCTGCTGCTTATGCTTTTTCTGCAGAGACCCTGGGAAAATCCCCCAAAAAGGCTGCAGGAAAATTCCCCACCCCGTTTTCCTACCAATCAATCATTCTTTATTTGGGATCGCAGGATGACGTCTCCAGCTCCATTCTCAGGGGGAAAGAGAGACTTTTGGCTTCGTGCAAGGAAAGCAGCAGAAGTCTTTCTTTCTCTCCCCCAAACTTTGCCAGAAATGAGTCTGAGTCTTGTCGTACCGGCGCAGCCTCTTGGAGCAGGACGCCTTGCAGGGTCTCAGACTCATTTCTGGCAGAGTTTGGGGGGGCGGGAGAAAGACTTTTGCTGCTTTCCTTGCATGCAGCCAAAAGCAGAAGCGGAAAGAAGCACCCCAGGCAAGGCACGTGGGGCAAGTCCCCCCACCCCGCCTCTCCCGCCCTCCCCTCACTACCTCATGTTGTTTGCAATACAAGCAACACAAGCCTGTGTTCCCAATGACCATGTGGGCTTTGTGTTCCCGTGCAGCCTGGGTTAATTGCTTTGGGGGGTGCTTTGGGGCTGACATTTATCTGCGGACCACCAAAATTTTCTCACGGACCACACTGGTTGGCGACCACTGTCCTAGTGCACAATCACTTAAATATGAGCCACTACAGAGGAACAGCACCAAGATCATAGGAAGTCATCATATTCGTCTATATGGCATTGAGGAGGCTAAGGGAACTAGTACATTCAGCTTAACAAAACAGAAAGTTTAAGGTAGCAGTCTTCCAGTGCTTAAAGGACTGTCCCAGGGAGGAATGGTCAATTTATTTTCCAAAGCAGCTGAAGTCAGGACAAGAAGCTGAGGGAGGAAGCTGACTGGTGATAGAGTGAACCTGGAAATGAGGAATTTCCTAATAGTGAGAAGTATTAATTAATGGGACAGTGTTTGCCTCCTGGAGTTGTGCATGCTGCATCGCTGGAGGGAAGGAAAATGCTATTAGGCTTTAAAATTTCATTGCATAGCATAGCCCAATATTTCTCAACATCAAAGGGCCGAGGGGGTGCAATGGTTAAAGTACAGTACTGCAGGCATAGCAGTAGCAATATGGACCTTCAGTGGTGCAAATCCAGGTGGCCTCTTATTTGGTCCCTAACAAGAACTGATCCTTCTTATCTACATAAGATTAGCCAGGTGCTGGAAGTTAACTGAATTCATTCTTAGTGTAACCTGACCTGCTACAGGATTCCAGGAACAGGATCTGTCCATCCAGAATGTTACACATTCAGCTCTAGAAAATTCCTTGAGTTCAGGAAAACGCATATCTTTCTACATCTATATATCGATATAAAATAAAAGTGAAATACTACTGACGCATCACCACAAAATCTCCAGAACTGTAAATGCCTACAAATTTGAAATTTGGCACGTATGTTCCTCTTGGCTTCTAGGTGCTCACTAAGAAAGGATTTTTCAAAATGACCATCAGAGCATTAGTATTTTGTATATTATTATTAACACGCTCTGATGCTAAGGAGTTTGACTCACCCTCCACACCTGAAAAGAAATCTGTTCCAAATGCAAAACACAAGCAGAGGAGTTTCAGTTTTAGCTTCCCAGCACCAAGCAGCTTTAGTACAGAACATTTGACCTAAGCCATGCCCAGGCTCCTTGCTGTCTTCTTCTTGCTCATACAGCAAATAGTTTCATTTTCCAAACAGCCCTCAACTCTCTCACATAGACAGGAGCTAGCCGGATGAATACCGATGGATGCTGGTAGGCAGAGGCAGAATTTTTTCCCCTTATTTTCCTCTCCAAAAACTAAGCCTGACCAAATACTTTCGTAGTGAAGCATGGGTATCGAGCTAGTCAGACATAATTGTTCATTCATTCATTCATTCATCAATCTAATTTATATGTCACTCATCTTACAGTTCAAGGCAACTTTTACCTCCCAATCTCAGGCTTCCTTTTCCATGTAAATGTGAAGAGCCAAATTGACTTTCTAAAAGATTTACTTGCTCAGCCTCCTATGAACCACATTTTGGTTTAGCCAATGTGTAAATCCAGCTGGGGAGTATATTCTAGTTCAGGGAAATGTGGAACCCATTCAAAAATGGATTGAGTAATCTGGGAAGGCACTGCATGGAAAGGAACAGTGCTGAAAAAACAATGGGAAGAAAAGATAAAAATTCTTCCAACCTGAATTCCTAACTCTCTTCTCCAAAGTGTCTTGGACATCTTGGAGAAGTATGTGAAGAAAATGTAGAATGAATAAGACAACTTTCATTGAATTACCCAATATGTAGTTTATCCATTTTTGTATGAAAATATTCCTGTATGGGTCATCCCATCAATAGTCACCCACAGCTCTACCTTCAGCTCTTTCTATATTCGGGTGCTTATCATTTTTCTCCTGCATGGATGTTTGAGGAAGCAAAGCTACAATGGCTGTATGTGCTTTGGAAAAAACAGTTGCAGACAGGCCACACCTCTTCCCCATGGCTCAGCACAACTCAGAGAAATCTGAGATGGGTTCATGCCTTCACTCACTCAGTCTGCTTACAAGGTTCCATGCTGGCAATCCAGTTGCCTGGCTAATTCAGCTGGTGTTTTCAACAATGTGTGGAAATCCAGAAGCAACCTTACCCCATCAAGGCCCTTCGTTTACAGAAACAAAGGCTAAAAAAGAGCAAAGAGCTTGTGTGGGGGTGTGAGAAAAGGAGATAAGGAAAAACCTAGAGTACTGCATCCAATTTTGTTCACATTATAAAAAAGATGTTTAGACTCTAGAAAAAGTACAGAGAAGAGCAACCAGGATGATTAGGGGACCGGAGACTAAAACATACAAAGAACGGTTACAGGAACTGGGCTTGGCTAGTCTAGTGAAGAGAAGGACCAGGGGAGACATGATAGCAGTCTTCCAATATTTGAGGGGCTGCCACAGAGAGGAAGGGGTCAAGCTATTTTCTAAAGTGCCAGTAGGCCAGGCAAGGTATAATGGATGGAAACTGAACAAGGAGCAATTTAACCTGGAAATAAGGAGAAACTTTCTGAAAGAGAGAACAATCAACCAATGGAACACCTTGCCCTCGGAAGTTGTTGGAGTGCCATCACTTGAGACTTTCAAGAAGAGATTGGACTGCCATTTGTCAGAAATTGTATAGAGTCTCCCGCTTGGGCGGGGCGTTGGACTAGATGACCTACAAGGTCCCTTCCAACTCTGATTATCTGTTATCTGAAAGGGCAAGAAGATGGTGAAGCAGGAGGCCATATTTGGTGACTGACAAGCAATACAAGCAGGCAATCCCTCAACTTCCAGCACCACAAACTACGGCAAGCAGCATATTCTGGTAGAACTCCTGTCTGGAGGTTAACTTGGTAACTCAGCCTGGCAACACTGCTTAAAATGCAGGACTTGGAAATTGGCCAAGAAAAATGCAGCAAATGCACTGGGGCAATCCCACAATGCAAAAATGTTTGGAAGGAAGCAAAGGTTGTGTACCACTTTACAGACTTTGAAATATTCATTTGAGTTAAGGCCTCAGTACTAAAAGTGTATTTGCATTGCAATCTCAACTTGCATGATCCAGAAGGGTAGCGTTAAGAGCAATAACCTTTTGTTGGGGAAGGCATGTGACACAATGAAGCAGAGTACAGATTTGCTAATGCTGTGCTGTGCTGTGTTCACTCCTTGGAAATCGGAGAATCCACACAGCATCATGAATAACATTCCAGATCAAACAAAATATCTTTGCACCTTCCATGCAATAAGCTTCCTTCTCCTTTCTGGATTCTTTGAATTGTTTTGAATGAAGCTCATTCCATAGTTTTATATGGTTTCTTCTGTGGGCATAATTTTATGAGATTTATGTTATCCTTTCCAAGCAAAGCTCTTTCAACACTCCACACTTTTATATGGAATACCCCCCCCCCCGTGCCTTCATGAATAAATGTCCTGTGATTGTTGTAGCTGTCTCCTCACTACATGCATTTATATGGTCTCTTCTGTGTGAGCTTTTTCATGAGAATTAAGTTGTCCTTTCTCAGCAAAGCTCTTTCCACATGCTACACTGATATGGTTTCGCCCTTGTATGGATTTTTTCATGACGAATAAGACCACTTTTCTGAGTAAACGCTTTTCCACACTCAAAGCATTTATATGGTCTCTCTCCTGTGTGGATTCTCTCATGAGAATTCAGTTGTCCTTTCTGAGCAAAGCTCTTTCCACATTCTGTGCATTGAAATGGTTTCTCCCTTGTATGGATTCTTTCATGACTAATAAGATCACTTTTCTGAGTAAAGGCTTTTCCACATTTTATGCATTTATAAGGTCTCTCCCCAGTGTGGGTCCTCTTATGATGAATAAGTTCTGAGTTGTGATGAAAGCTTTGCCACACTCCATGCATCTATATGGTCTTTGTGTGCATCCTCAGGTGGAAACTAAGCTGCTATTTGTCAATAAAGCTCTTTCCACACTCCAGGCAATTACAGGATATCTGCCTTGTGTGGCTTCTCTCATGAGAATTCAGTTGTCCTTTCCAAGTAATGCTCTTTCCACATTCTGTACATTGAAATGGTTTCTCTCCTTTATAGATTCTTTCATGACTAATAAGGCCACTTTTCCGAGTGAATGCTTTCCCACATTGTCTGCATTTATATGGTCTTTCCCCCGTGTGCATCCTTTGGTGGGAAATAAGATGCCATTTGTTAATAAAGCTCTTTCCACACTCTACGCATTTATATGGTTTCTCTTCTGTGTGGATTCTTTTATGAGAATTAAGTTTATTTATATGTGCTGTGGCCCTATACCAGAGGAAGGTCATATAATCAGATGTATTTGGCTAGAATTAAGTGACAGGAAAATATAATGTATAAACACTTTCATCTTTCATTTCATAACTCTGTATAATCCTTTGCTCGTTCTTTGTACTAATTTGCAGCTGTGTGAAATGTCTGTGTAAAAATAATTCTCTCCTGCTTCTTGCCAAAAAATATTATCTAGAAGAAAAATAGGTTTCCAACATCCGCCTTGGTTAAAAGGTCCTGTTCATGAGAAAGGGAGTTCACTTGTCTTAAGTTCCAAGATAATGGTACTGACCAACATTTGTAAAAGGACCAGTTGTTGATCCATTTGAGATACCGGTATATGTTTTTTTGGGTGGGTGGGAAATTGGGGAAGAGCTCTTAGTAGATAGAGGAAGCCTCTTAGATTCAGGATTGGGGTCTGCTTCCCTACTTTAGGAATCCTGACTGGTGGTAAAATTAATCAACCATTCAGCTTCAAGAAGTCAGACAATGAATATTAGCTCTACCTTTGTAAGACCACATTAATAAAATCTTGCAATTCTGAAAGCATTTTTTTTATCCTCTCCTTGTACTTGCTGGAAAAGTAGGGAGGGTTTTTATTAAATCTCCCCACCCTCCACCATCTGAGAATTGAAATATCTTTTACATTATGGCTGTCCAGTCCATGACAAACTATGAGGGAAAATAGAATGTGCGAATAACGTCCCACAAAGTTATTCCCACGTACTATTACACCATCCCAATACCTGGTCTCTGGATGTTTTTTCTCTCTACGATTATCTGGAAGGAAGGAAGGCAAGAGGCGTAGAAGAGGACGAAAGTGCCTCACCTGCCGCCCCTTTCCGAGCTCCGAGGAGGCAGCCTTCGGCCAGGGCCACCGCCTGGGCGCAGCTCTCCGCCCCGCACTCCCTCAGCCAGCTCGGGCAGCAGGGCCAGCAGCTGCTCCAGCACCACCAGGTCCAGCATCTCGGCTTTGCTGCTCCGCTCGGGCCGCAGCCACCCTCGGCATAGCCAGTGCAGGCGGCTGCAAAGCGCCCGGGGCCCCTCAGCCTCCCGGGAGCCGCAGCTGCGGAAATGCTAGCGCTCAGCCTCGGAGCTGCGGAGACACTCGGAGAGTCCGCTCAGGACGCCGCTTCCCCCGCCGGACTCCACGCCGCAGCTGTTACCCGCCTGGAGGGCCGCTACTGCTCCCCCCCCCCCCCCGGCCCCCCCCCCCGGCCACCATTCGGTCTCCGGCTTCAGCGTAGCCCCAATGGGGGAAAAACTCTCTCCGAGGCCGCCGCCGCCTTCGGTCACGGCGAAGCCACCCTCTCCCCTTTCCCGGTTTCAGGGGAGGGAGAGGGGGGCGGGGCTCCGTTCCCTCAGGGCTTCTGAGGCGGAGAAGAGCGGCTGCAAATCCTTCCCGCCAAAACTTCCCGCGCTCTCCTGGTCTCCGAGACGCTCAGCCGGAGATTGCTGTTTCCTACAGAGGCAAACCTCTATAAGCGCTCACCCCTCCCGTTTACAGCTCTGGTCTAGAGCGCCTTCCAAGACAACCTTCGAGGTCTGGCAAACGTCTTCTGCACATGCCCTCTTATTCCGCCGCCTCAAAAATTAGCCATTTGGTAGGGGAGTGGTGGGTCATGCGGGAATATGGAGATGGGCAAGTTTAAGACTTGTGGGCTTCAACTCCCAGAATTCCTGAGCTAACATGACAGGAGGAAGAATTCTGGGAGTTGACGTCCACAAGTCTTAAAGCTGTCAAGTTTCAAGACCCCTAGGCTTGGGGTCGAGTATGATGGGCATGGTGGAGGTAGAGCAGGGCTGTCCCAAAAATGCTTTCTGAAGAAGCAACTGGCCTCTCTGGTGCTTCAGCTTCTGGTCCAAGCTTCTTCAAAGAAAAACCAGAAAGCCCAGTTGCCTCTCTTGAAAAAGCACCTTTGGGGCAACCAAGACCTGGATGGCTGAGAAGCTCCATAAGCTGGAAAAAGCAAAGCTCTTTTGAATGGAATCTGCTTTGATTGTTGGTTTTGAGAACCTGGGATTTTTCTTTACTTCCAGCAGTTTATGTATTATATAATTATAATGTAATGTTATGCATTATTAAATACAAAAGTTATACATGTTTTGAAGGTTCCTCCAGGCCAGTTTATTTGTCCTGTTATCTGTATTAATGTGGTGACACTCATAAAGGAACCCTACTTTTTCTACAGAATGCAATCTGCCCTATATATCTTCTGTTTCTATTTCTGTGCTGTTGGAAGTCTTGACTTTCTATCCACCTTTTCTACTTGATCTTTCCTGGCTGGTTGATTGGCTGGTATGCTATTTCTGTTTCACATAGAAACAGAATGTCCTACTGTTTTCTTTTTGTGTGAAGACAGATGCAAAGTATGAATTTAGCAGTTCTGCTTTTCTCTCTCCTGCCCATTACTTACTTGGGAGATGGGGAAAAAATAACGAATAGAGAGAAAGCAGAACTGCTTGATTCATGCTTTCCTCTGTCTTCATACAACTTTCAAAAAAGAGAACCATAAATGACAGGTAAGGAATGCAAATTTAAAATATGCAAAAATAAGGTAAGAGAATACCTATCACCTCACTAGGATTCAAATCATCAGGTTCTGATGGATTACATTCTGGAATTCAGATGAAACTGATGGACATGATTTCAGAACCATTGAAACATATCTTTCAATTGGAGCACCGGGAAACTACCTGAGTACGGGGAAAAAAGCTGATGTAGTGCCCATCTTCAAAAGTGGGGGGGTGGGGAAAAAGATCCAGAAAATTAAAGACCAGTCAACCTGATATCAATACCTGGGAAGATCTTGGAAAAGATAATGAAGCAACAAATTTGCGAACATCTAGAAGCAAATCAAGTTATAACTAGAAGCCAATATGGGATTATCAAAAACAGATCATGCCATGAAGAAATCTTCATTCTTTGACAAAGTGACTAAATTAGTGGATCAGTCAAATGCTGGGGACATAGTATACTTAGATTTCCGTAAAGCATTTGATAATGTAGATGCACAACCTACTTCTTAGCTAGCTAGAAAAATATGGAATAGACACCAACACCACTAGGTGGATCAGTTACTGGCTGACAAATTTGTGTAGTCCTCAGTGGAACTACATCCACATGGAGGCAAGCAGTGGGGTTTCCCAAGGTTCCATTTTAGGTCCAGTACTGTTCAATATCTTCATAAACAATATAAATGAGGGAATAGAGGGAGAACTCATCAAATTTGCCAATGACACTGAACTGGCAGGAATAGCTAAAACCTCAGACGACAAGCTCAAGATCCAAAAATATCTTTACAGACTGGAACACTGGACCCTAGCTAACAAAATGAAATTCAACATAGATAAAAATAAGGTTTTACACTTAGGCAAAAAAACCCAACTGTATAGGTACAGACTTGATGACACATGGCTTAATAAAGCAACAGAGGGATTTTGGAATCCTAGTGCACAATCACTTAAATATGAGCCAGTGTACCGCAGGTGTCAAAAAAGCCAATACTGTCCCAGTTTACATCAACAGCACCAAGGTCATAGGAAGTCATCATATTTGTCTATTTGGCATTGGGGAGGATAAGGGAACTAGGTACGTTCAGCTTAACAAAACAGAAAGCTTAAGGTAGCAGTCTTCCAGTGCTTAAAGGGCTGTCCCAAGGAGGAATGGTCCATTTATCTTCCAAAGCACCTGAGGTCAGGACTAGAAGCAGAGGGAGGAAGCTCACTGGTGGGACAGCAATCCTGGAAATAAGGAATTTCCTAACAGTGAGAAGTATTAATTAATGGAACAGCTTTTGCCTCCCAGAGTTCTGCATGCTGCATCGCTGGAGGGAAGGTCCAGAAGGGTAGAGTTAAGAGCAATAGCCTGTTGTTGGGGAAGGCACGCAATACAGTGAAGCACGCTGTTCAGATTTGCTTATGCTGTGCTGTGCTGTGCCCACTCCTTGGAAATCAGAGAATCCTCACGGGATCATGAATAATATTCCAGATCAAACAAAAGATATCTGCGCATTCTATGCAATAATAAGCTTCCTTCTCATTTCTGGATTCTTTCATGGTGAGTAATTTGATTGTTTTGAATGAAGCTCATTCCATAGATTTATAATATTTCTTCTACGCACATAATTTTATGAGATTTTCGTTGTCCTTTCCAAGTATACCTCTTTCAACACGCCATGAATTTATATGGATTTTCCCCACTTTGGATTCCTTCATGAGTAAATGTCTTGTGATTATTGGAGCTTTCTCCACACTACAATGGATTTATATGGTCTCTTGTGTGGGTTCTTTTATGAGAATTAAGTTGTCCTATCTGAGCAAAGCTTTTTCCACACTCTGTGCATTTATATGGTCTCTCCCCTGTATGGATTCTTTCATGAGTAATCAAATGAACTTTCCGAGTAAATTGCTTTCCACACTCCCTGCATGTGTATGGTCTCTCCCCAGTATGGATCCTTCCATGTTGAATAAGTTCTGTGCTCCAATGAAAACTTTTTCCACACTCTAAGCATTTATATGGTCTCTCTCCTGTGTGGATTCTCTCATGAGAAGTCAGTTGTCCTTTCTGAGCAAAGCTCTTTCCACATTCTATACATTGAAATGGTTTCTCCCCTGTATGGATTCTTTCATGATAAGTAAGATGGCCTTTCGTAGTAAAAGATTTTCCACATTCCACGCATTTATATGGTCTTTCCCCAGTGTGGGTCCTCTTATGATGAATAAGTTCTGTATTCCGACGAAAGCTTTTCCCACACTCCATGCATTTATATGGTCTTTCCCCTGTGTGCAACCTTTGGTGGAAGGTAAGTTCACAATTGCTAATAAAGCTCTTTCCACACTCCATGCATTTATATGGTCTCTCTCCTGTGTGGATCCTTTGGTGCCGAATAAAATTTCTGTTCTCAATAAAGGTCTTTCCACACTCCAAGCATTCATGCCGTCTATCCGTTGTGTGGACCCTTTGATGTCGAGTAAGGCCACTGTTGTCAAAAAAACTCTTACCGCAGTCCAGGCATTTATATGGTCTCTCCCCTGTGTGGATTCTTTGATGGGAAATAATATCACTACTCTCAGCGAATGACTTTCCACACTCCTTGCAACTATATGTTTTTTCAGCTGTGTGGATCTTCTGATGGCGAGCCAGATTACTGTTTGTACTGAAGCTCTTTCCACATTCTATGCATTTATAAAGTTTCTGCCCCGTGTGAGTCTTTTCATGACGATTAAGATGTCCTTTCCGGGTAAAACTCTTTCCACACTCTAAGCATTTGTATGGTTTCTCACCTGCATGGATCCTTTTGTGAATAGTAAAAGTACTAGAGTTACTAAAGCTCTTTCCACACTCTATGCATTTATATTGATCCTTTCTGGTGTGTATTCTTTCATGACGAGTAAAGATTCTGTAGTGATTAAAGCTTTTTCCACACTCTGTGCATTTGTATGGTCTCTCCTCTCTGTGGATCCTTTGATGGTGACTAAGGTCTCTGTTGTCGATAAAGCCCTTTCCACATTCTATGCATTTATATGGTCTCTCTCTTATGTGGATCCTTTGGTGCCGAGTAAAAATTCTGTTCTCAATAAAGCTCTTTCCACACTCCAGGCATTTATATGGTCTTTCCCCTGTATGGATCTTTTTGTGATGAATAAACTGTGTGTTTCGAGAAAAGCTTTTTCCACACTCCATGCATTTATATGGTTTCTCCCCTGTGTGGATCTTCTGGTGACGATTAAGTGTACTGTTGCTACTGAAGTTCTTTCCACACTTCACACAGAGCTTCGTGTCTCTGCTCAGACTGAAACACTTTCCAAATTTTACAAATATATTTGGCTCGTGTTTCCTGTACAGTTTCTTAGGTAAAGAAAGAGAGAAAGAAGGATTGATGGATTTTGCATACTGTCTGTAGTCATATGGTTTTCCTTTGCTCTGGCTTCTGCCGTATTCAGCTAAATTGAATTCATTTTTCTCCCTTTTGCTGTATTTTCCCTTTTGCTTCCCTTTCTGGTCTTCCTGGATTTCAATAGGAAGATAAGTGGAAGATCTCGCCCCCTGATCTTCTGAGTAGCTTTTTTCTTGGGGGTTTGCATCCTGTTGATGGCCAAAAATCACTTCTTCTACTTGAAGGTTTGCTGTTTCCATAGGCATTAACCTCATCTGTTTGTCACTGTCATTCTCCAGCCTGTCACCTGATTGAGAAAAAGAAAATATAAGTTCCCATTAGAATTTAGTAAAAGGATTCTTGGTTGAGGGACTACTATCCTTCTAAAAGGAGGCAGCAGTGTCACCTCCAAAAGCCATTGCTCAGTCTGATGATTCTGGATTCCTATATATTCAAATCTTCAAATGAGGATCTTTAAAAAAAGGATGTGGCTACAGCTACAGAGGACTCAGCGTGGAGAACATTATCTCGACTTATTTTATGGAGATTCAGGTCAGGGTTACACACAACATTACCTCCTGAGGGATTGCTATATCAGGAGTATCATCTAATCTTCTTTGTGGCTTTTCATACAACTGAAAATTCTGGACCATCCCCAAAATCACATGTTGAAAATATTATATTGCAGTGGTTCTCTTTTCCTATGGGACAGTTCTGGAGCAGTGGTGAGGGGGAAGGTGGGATTGAGGGGTAATTGACCCCATGGTTGCTCAGTTGTGGTCTTCCTCAGCATTTGACATCTCCTTAGTTAACATGGAGATGAAGCTACTAGTAGAGGTGATCCACCAAATAGGGTTGGGCAAGTCATTCTGATGTTGAAACTGCTCACTGTTTATTTCTGGAAGCCCAAGCAGAACATAGGATAATGCCCAAGATGTTCAAGTCTAGATTGGAGGAGGAACAAATTACTAGTGTATTTACAGGTAGACATATGACCACAATTGAGCCCAAAATATCTGTTGCTGAGATATTTGTGAAATGAATCATGAGTCAAAAAGAGGGCTGTGAAAATATTTACAGACCCCTCACATTCCGGACATAAACTGTTTCAACTCCTACCCCCAAAACGACGCTATAGAGGATTGCACACCAGAACAACTGGACAGGACAGTTTTTTCCCAAATGCCATCACTCTGCTAAACAAATAATTCCCTCAACACTGTCCAATTATTTACAAAGTCTGCACTACTATTACTATTAATCTTCTCATCACTCATCACCCATCCCCTCCCACTTGTGACTGTATGACTGTCACGTTGTCGCTTGTATCCTTACAATTTATATTGACTGTTTCCTAGTATGATTTGATTGCTTATTGTACCCTGTGACTAATGTTAAGTGTTGTACCTAATGATTCTTGACTCTTGACGAATGTATCTTTTCTTTTATGCAATGAGAGTATTTGTACCAAGTATTTGCACCAAGACAAATTCCTTATGTGTCCAATTACACTTGGCCAATAAAAGAATTCTATTCTATTCTATTCTATTCTATTCTATTCTATTCTATTCTATTCTATTAATTTTGTCCCATTTTACAATCTTTCTTGCCACAGTTGTCAACTGAATCATGCAATTGTTAAGGTACTAACACGGTTGTTAAGTAATCTGGCTTCCACACTGATATTACCTGTCAGAAGGTTTGAAAAGGTGATCACATGCACCTTTCCTTTTAGGTGGTGGGGAGAAAGGGGGGCAGAAGGGGCAGGTGTGCTGGTGGGAAGGCGGCTTCCAAGTGACTGAAAGAGATTCCTTTTATTCCTCTACACACACACACACACACACAATTTTAATTCCCAATCCTCAAAAGATGCCATATGGATCTAAGTATCAACAGGTATACAACCTGTTTCACAAGTTAAAGTGAAGATCTCTATTTGTTTTTTGGACGCAACCAGGAAGTTTTCTTGACCATAACACAGAAGTGGCAAATCACACCTTTTTTTTCAGATTTTCTTGAACGCCAGGATAGCAATCAAATATTAAGCACACCTGACTCTATGTTTTAGTAGGAAAGACTTAAAGAGAGTGCAGTTATTCACGGGGCACCCAGGCAGGTGTCAGGAACAGCTTATGCAACTGAGTGCAGAGATCTTCCTTGTTTACTTCCCACTTAAAACACCTTTCCCAATTATCTGAACCCAGAGTAAAATGGCTCCTTACCCAGAGCGTCCATATTCCTAGAAACCTCCAGCATGACTTCTCTGCACAAGGCCTTCTGGCCAGAATCCAGCAGTGCCCACTCCTCCTCTGTGAAGTCCACAGTCACCTCTTCAAAGAGAGAAGAGCCCTAGAAAGAGAAAGAACACTATCCCTAACAGACAATCCTCTCGTGTTCCTTTCTTACAATGCAAAACACAGCTTTTCAAGAGACCAATTGGACATTTTCCTACAGGACAGGTATGTCTGTAGGTCCCCATGGTCTATAGACCAACCACCTGAGGCTACTGCTGCAAAGGCGCAAAATATGGCTTGGATGAATGGAAGCTGTAGGATGACTACACCCCCTTTTGGGAGTTGCCAACAGCTCCAGAATGACTCAGCAAGGTAGTTTTGGGGAGCAGAATCAGCAAATTCCTTTCAAAATAGGACGAAGCCATCAAGCACTTCTTTCCTGGCCTGTTTCCAAATTTTGGAAATAACCAGAGAAATCGCAAGTCATTTGACCAGCAATCTTATTGTTACAGCCATTTAGGATTCACTTAGTAGGCTTTACAGAAGGAACCTGCCCTTCAGGTGATTCAATTTTAAGTGGATATGCTGGGACCTTTCGGAAAGCAGTTCTTTTCCAATTCATAATTTGTAGCTGGTTTTCAGGTTCTTTTGAAAGAGATGTATTACACATTTTGACAGCGGCCAGATTAGCTTTTGCCCAATGTTGGAAGCAGCCTCATGTTCCATCAGAGGAGATGATCATTCAAAAAATTTCAAGTTGTGCAGAAATGGACAAATTAACTTTGGCACTAAAAAATAAAGACACCTCAATATACTACAACAGCTGGAACTGCTGGTACAAATGGATAGACCAAAGATAGACTTTACACTATAAGGCAAAAGAGGATAGGATAAATCCATAGTAGTGATACACAGATATATGTAAGGATTAGGTGTGTGTATATGGCATAAATTAAGGATAAAAAAAGAGGTCTTACAAACTGTTGAAGATGAGAATGTTTTTAATTGTTTTCTATTTTTTTCTTTCTATTTTCTCCCTTTTTTCTCTCTCTCTCTTTTTTTTCATTTGTGTATGTGTTGTCGGTTTGTTTTAATTGTAAAATAAATAAAATTTATTTATATAAAAAAAAGAAAGAGATGTATTAAAATCTTTCAACAAATTGATTACATTTTGTAATACAAGCCTCTCATTTTATGAACCGTCCTTTGCTTACAGACTAAGAACCATCTGGAAAATGACTGAGTGTGACTCAGTGGAGCATTCTGGGGAGACACCGTGTTCAAATGCACAGATTTAGCATTTGGTTGTAAAAGCAGCTCTAGAATGGAAAGAGGTTGAACTTTATTGCTTTCAGAAGAAACCTATACTTGCCTGACAAGATGGCCCGAATTGGATCCTCCTGAAATGAAGCTGTTGAGAGCGATTGGATTGATCTTTTTCCTGGAGCTCTGCTGAGATCTCTCTTGCGAACGGCTCCTGTACCTGAAAGAACAGCCTGGATTATGATCCACGTTCATGAGACTATTGCCATGTTAGGTTGCTTGGCTTACCTTTTGACTCTCCACTTGAATTTCCCCAACTCAAGTCAAAGTGAGAGAACTCAGGGATTCTGATATGAAGGTGGCTGTTATTTCTGGGTAAATGTCTGGCATTTTTTGTATAATGTTTTTTTGCCTCTTTTTATTTCCTCTCTTCTTTCTAATCAGGAGTTGCTTCTTCTCCCTGAGCTATGCCTTCCTCCTTTGTGGATTTACATATGTCAGCTCTATCCCTTCCTCTGGGAATATTTTCTGTTAGATTTAGGGACCATTAGCACTTGAGAGGGATGGGATCGATCTCTCCTTTTGGATTTAGCTTCGCTAGGATAGGGAGGAAACTTCCAGCCGGGCAGTTCGTGGACATACAGGTGAAACTCAAAAAATTAGAATATCCTGCAAAAGTTCATTTATTTCAGTAATGCAACTTAAAAAGTGAACCTAATATACGAGATAGACTCATTACATGCAAAGCCAGATAGTTCAAGCCGTGCTTTGTCATAATATAGATGATTATGGCTTACAGCTCATGAAAACCCCAAATCCACAATCTCAGAAAATTAGAATATTGTGGAAAGGTTCAATATTCTAGGCTCAAAGTGTCCCACTCTAATCAGCTAATTAGGCCATAACAACTGCAAAGGATTTCTGAGCCTTTAAATGGTCTCTCAGTCTGGTTCAGTAGGAAGCACAATCATGGGAAAGACTGCTGACCTGACAGTTGTGCAGAAAACCATCATTGACACCCTCCATAAGGAGGGAAAGCCTCAAAAGGTAATTGCAAAAGAAGTTGGATGTTCCCAAAGTGCTATATCAAAGCACATTAATAGAAAGTTATGTGGAAGGGAAAAGTGTGGAAGAAAAAGGTGCACAAGCAGCAGGGATGACCGCAGCCTGGAGACGATTGTCAGGAAAAGGCCATTCAAAAGTGTTGGGGACTTTCACAAGGAGTAGACTGAGGCTGGAGTCAGTGCATCAAGAGCCACCACACACAGATGGATCCTGGACATGGGCTTCAAATGTCGTATTCCTCTTGTTAAGCCTCTCCTGAACAACAAATGTCAGAAGCGTCTTACCTGGGCTAAATAAAAAAAGAACTGGTCTGTTGCTCAGTGGTCCAAAGTCCTCTTTTCTGATGAGAGCAACTTTTGCATCTCATTTGGAAACCAAGGACTCAGAGTCTGGAGGAAGAATGGAGAGGCACACACTGCAAGATGCTTGAAGTCCAGTGTGAAGTTTCCACAGTCTGTGTTGATTTGGGGAGCCATGTCATCTGCTGGTGTTGGTCCACTGTGCTTCATTAAGTCCAGGGTCAATGCAGCTGTCTACCAGGGGATTTTGGAGCACTTCATGCTTCCTTCTGCAGACTAGCTTTATTGGGATGCTGACTTCATTTTCCAGCAGGACTTGGCACCTGCCCACACTGCCAAAAGCACCAAAACCTGGTTCAATGACCATGGGATTACTGTGCTTGATTGGCCAGCAAACTCACGTTACTGAAATAAATGAACTTTTGCACGATATTCTAATTTTTCGAGTTTCACCTGTACCTTGGGATCAAGGCCAATTGATCGCAAGGCCACAAAATCCTGAAAGCATTTCTTGCCTCCTGTCCTTTCACTCTCGGGTAAACTGAAGCATTCCCCCTTTCCCTGCCACCCGCCCCACCCCGACTGTCTACTTGTGGGTGATGGTTGTGTATTCCGTGGCACTTCCCCTTCCAATGTCATTCCCACAGATCATTACACTATCCCAACATGCATCTTCTACACCAGAAGTCTCCAAATTTGACAACTTTAAAGACTTGTGGCCTTCAACTCCCAGAATCCCCCCGCCAGCCATGCTAGCTGAGGAATTCTGGGAGTTGAAGTCCACAAGTTTTAAACTTGCCAAGGTTGGAAACCCCTGTTCCAGATTTCTCGTCAGTGACTATTTTTAAAGAAGAGAAACAAAGGTGTGCATATCTTTAAAAGAAGGTTCACAATATGGTAAAGACGCTGAAGAGTTTGATTAATATCAGTTTAAACCAAGGGTCTTCCAACTTGGCAAGTTTAAGACTTGTGGACTTCAACTCCCCAAATTCCTGAGCTAACATGACTTGAGGAGGAATTCTGGGAGCTGAAGTCCACAAGTCTTAAAGCTGTCAAGTGTTGAGGAAAAAAAGAGGGGAAAAGTGGAGAAGGGATTCCAGCCAGCTCCCCAAAACTTTGGAGCTTCTTCTATCCTTTCAGGATGAGGGGAGACAGGACTGGACTGAAGTAGGCTTGAATTTCTCCTTCTTCCTATGGCATTATCACCAAGAGGAAGAACAAGCTTTTGCATCAAAAAGAAATAACTTTTCAAAATATTAGGAGCTGCTGAAAATGTTGCTGCTGACTCTTCCTTCATATGTGGGGTGTCTTTTTTTTTTATTCTTCACCTGTTAAACTTTTTTTTAAATATATGTTTTATTTTGATTCATAACCATTTTGAATAGAGTTCATTGTCAGGGCATATCATTAACGAAAGAAAACCCCAAACAAACAGAAATATCAACATATATACTAGTAACATGCGGTTTTCTTACGAAGGAGACGGGGACCCTAATAAACTTGAATTTCTCCTCCCTCCCTTCTCCCTCCGATGGCTGCAAAATATCTCAGCCTCCCACGGCTGACTTGTCTCACCTGCCGCCCCTTTCCGGGCTCCGGGGAGTCTGCGGGGCCGAGGAGGCAGCCTTCGGCCAGGGCCACCGCCTGGGCGCAGCTCTCCACCCCGCACTCCCTCAGCCAGCCCGACAGCTCCGGGGGCAGCAGGGCCAGCAGCTGCTCCAGCACCACCAGGTCCAGCATCTCGGCTTTGCTGCTCCGCTCGGGCCGCAGCCACCCCCGGCACAGCCGGTGCAGGCGGCTGCAAAGCGCCCGGGGCCCCTCGGCCTCCAGGGAGGCGCAGCTGCGGAAGCGCCAGCGCTCAGCCTCGGAGCTGCGGGGACCTTCGGGGAGGCCGCTCGGGACGCCGCTTCCCCCGCCGGACTCCACACCGCCGCCGCTGCTACCCGCCTGAAGGGGAGCCTCCATTCGGTCTCCGGCTTCAGCGCAGCCCCGATGAGGTAAAACTCCCTCAGAGGCCGCCGCCTTCAGTCACAGCTGTCCGCTTCTCCCCGAGACTCTCCGGGCGAGCCTGTTCTAGTCACCGGCCGCCCTTTCCCGCGTTCCGCTTCCAAAGCGAGCAAAATCCTCTCCGGGTCCAGCAGAGGCGAAGCAGCCAAAGGGGATCCGAGGAGGGGAGAGCCGCCCCCGAAGCGTCGCTCCTTCCCGCTGCCCCACCGACATCAGCAGCTCCGGGCGACGGTTCGGGGGACCAGAGGCCGCAGCCGAGGCTCCTTTCCCTGCTTCGGTTCCCTCGAGTTCCTCCTCCTCCCCGCCTTCTTCTCGGTTCCCGGGAGGGGAGAAGGCGGGAGCCGCTTCCTCGGGGGCTTCTCCGCATCAGCAAATCGGCCGCCAGTAGCTCCGGTCGCAAGTCCCCACCCCCTTCCCCTGTCCTCCCAGCGGTTCGGACACAGAGTCTTCTTTCCCAGAGAGGCAAAGCGCCTCCTAGCGGTTGGGAAACAGAGGCCTCTTTCCCAGAGAGGCAAAGCGCCGTACGCGACCACGCTTCCTGTCTTTGGCGAGAGCGCCTCCCACGGCCAAGTGCCAAAGGTGCTTTCCCCCCCACCAAGAGGCAGATGGATTCGTTTTTTCTTTGAACTTGACAAGTGGAGTGCTGAAATTTTGTGAAGGGACACCGGGCAGAAAACATGCAGCCGAGAAGTTCCACATCCATTTGCACTACTCAGGTGACCCTGAGGACACAGATAAACATCCAATGGCCAGGCAAATGACCAGCTGTCTGCAAGGAGTATAAATCCTTCCATTCCCCGCCATCCTGTCAGAGCTGAAGAAGCTTCTTGGATGACAAGCGAAACGTCTTCAAAAAAGAAAACAAACAAGAAAAGTCCAGTTGCCTCTTGGAAGTGGGACAACCATGACCTGGATGATTGAGAATCTCCATAGACTTGTACTGAAATAAAGGTTTTAAATAACTGATGATCAGTTGGAAGGGACCTTGTAAGTTATCTAATCCAACCCCCTGTCCAAGCAGGAGACATGACCATTTTTGACAGATGGGAGTCCAATCTCTTGAAGGTCTCAAGTGATGTCCCTCCTACAGCTCTGATCTTTTATTTTCTTCCTTTTTATTTCTGCTTCAGTGTGTGCTCCTGACATGTTTAAGTCCAGTATGTAAGACTTCAAGAAACTTCTATCTTTCTTGTAAAGTTCTGTACATACACAAGACTTGTCATCTTCATTATCCTTAATAAATAAATATCCCAGCAAATTCAGTGAGGCAATTATCCTGTCTTAGTGCTGGATATCAATTTCAGCACCTTCAGGAAGTAAGAGCACCATGTCCAAAAGAGTCATCAAACTATATGTACCAACAACAACTCCCAAAACAAAACAAAAAAGCAGATTACCCATAACAATAAGGAAACTTCAATCCAAAAAGAGATCACTCTGGCGGAAAAACAAATCTGGTCACGTTGCCCATTTCAAAAGCCAATACAAAAATTTACGCCACCAGATAAAGACCGAATGCACCAATTATCACATTAAACAAGAGGAAAACCTTCTAAGCACCAATTCCACCCGTGCTTTTTACAATTTTGTAAACAACAAACTAAAAGACTCAAGGTCCATCCCACCCCTGATAGGACCTGATGGTAAAGACTGCAACAACACCATTAAAGCCAACATCTTTAACACATTCTTCGGCTCAGTATTTGTAAACAGCAATGGATCATGCCCAGTATTTCCTAGCCGTACCACAGATAACAACAATGATCTAATACATATCGATTT